ACACAAGAATGTCAATAAGTGTATAAAATAATATAATATAACATAATATAAATCTAGTTATTTAATATACACTAGGTTAACATATATTGATATAGTGCTTTACTATTATTTGAGCACATACTTAATGGTACATATTTAGTTTATATGCACTAGGTTAATACATATTGATATAACGCTTCACTATTTACTAAAATTAAATAAGGTTAGTAGGCAGCTCAGTGACACATCTATAGTGCAAGCTGACAGGACATTCAGAGAAAGGGATTGAAAGCTCCCTCTGTGTTTGAAATGCATAGCCAGCAAACCACACCAGAGACAGTTGTTTTGATCTCGCTAAATACTGTGCTGATTCACTGACTATGTTGTGGACATGGCTAAACCCCATGCACGCTACGCCACTCGCATTTAACTAGAAAACTGTGTCTGTGAAAATAGAGAAAAATGGTGCAGATGCTTATAAAAAAGGTACACTATTGAGATAAATGGACATTGTACATCAAAAAACTGCATTGCAGGTCTATGTATAATTCAGAGATGAAAAATACATTAATCACTTAGATATATCACATAGATAACTAGTAAGTTAAATAACATGAATAATCACAATTTAATTGCAATAGTTTTCCTTCACAAGGCCTCCTGCCAAAAGAATGTTGTTTCCAGTAGAGAACTAGGAATGAGCACCTGTGCATGTTGCTAGTTCTCAGACTCCCCTATCAAACTAACAAATCAGCCATAGAGTTATATTTGAGTTGAAGCAGAAGTAAAGTCAGCCAGACTAAAAATCTCATAACTCTACAGGTGCACCTCAATAAATTAGAATATGATCAAAGTGTTAATTGATTTCAGCAATTCAATTCAAAAAGTGAAACTCATATATTATATAGATTCATTGCACACAGAGTGATTTATTTCAAGCATTTCTTTCTTTTAATGTTGATGATAATGGTTTACATCTAGTGAAAACCCAAAATTCAGTATCTCAGAAAATCAGAATATTACATAAGACCAATAAATAAATTAAACCAATAATTTACACGTATTGGGATTTTTTGTAGCAAAGACGTAGCATAACACATTTTGGCCTAAATTTATGACGAAATGTAATTGTTAAAATTGTTTTACTGGATATGTTTTATAACAAAAAGTCCAAAATATTTTTTTTTTCAAAATTGTCGGTCTTTTTTTGTTTATAGCGCAAAAAATAAAAAACACACAGGCGATCAAATACCACCGAAAGAAAGCTCCATTTGTGGGTAAAAAAGGACATAAATTTATTTTGGTTGCAGCGTTGTATGACCATGCAATTGTCAGCTAAAGTATCACAAAACAATGTCCTGGTCAGGAAGGGGGGTAAATCCTCTGGAGGGCAAGTGGTTAAGGAAGGTCACCTATGACTGCGCGTGTGGGGTGTGCATGCGCAGGGGCGGACTGACCATTTGGAAACTCAGGCACTGCCCGAGGGCCCGGGGTCAGTAGGGGGCCCCATGAGATGCCCCTGGTACCTTTTTCATAGGCTTTTTTGAGTTTGGGCAAGGACACAGGAGCCCCATGATCCCTTATTGCCCGGAGGCATGAGTTGTCAGTCCGCCCCTGTGCATGCGTGACCTCAGAATGTTTTTGTGTCATTCATTTTGAGAATGTAAACCAAATCTGTGTATTAGGATCCCCCCAAACCTGAAGTGCCCCAGGCCCCCCAAGGTCTAAGTCTGGCTCCTAACACACAGAGGTTTGATACTTAGCATATTATACAAGAGACAGGTGTAATTGTTCCAGTGTTGTCTGCTAGAAATACCACTCCATACATCATAAAAATCAGTGCGCTATTTGTCAGTTATTAAAGTCACTTATTAAAATGACAGCTGCTTTTGTGAAGCTGTTCAGAGCGCAAAATGACATAAAGCCATAGCTTGAATCCAATGCCAAGCGAGATTCTTTAAGATTGTGCAACATCAAAAGAATTAAATACCTTAACCTCCCTATTTAGCCAATGTGGGCGGCAGTAATTAGTCAAGATAATTTGCTGACTGGTACATAAGTTTTTTATATCTCACTACAACAAATGTTCCTGATTAAAGCAATACTTATAACAGTTCCCAGCTGTATGAGCAACTAAGCTAAGAAAATAAATATTTCAGCTGTAGATTGACATGCAGCATAGCAATCCCTAATTTGGCAGAATACCATAAAAGGGTATAAAGTGCAAAGAATCCGCAATGTTTTCTAAAACGCTATTGTTGGCACATATATTACAGTGGCAATCAGGCGAAGACTGGCAACAGACATTAAACAACGGAGGCTGCAGACTCGAAGCCATGGCTAGGAACATAGTTCCTGCAATATTCTTTCAGAACAATCAAGTCATAGGCCATTATAATCAACATAGGGGTTATTCCATGGAAATAAGGGCTCATGTACACGGGATGTTTGGAAAACATTTCTGAACGATGGAAACTGACTAGTGGAAAATGTAGGTTAAAAAACGTCTGTTTAGCCGCGTTTGTATACTGCGTTTATGCGCATTTGCGTTTAGAAGCGTTTTTTAAAGATAACATCAGAAGACCTTCCAAAATGCCCAGAATGCACTGAAAACAGTAAAAAATTAACTATTTCAGACATTTTGAGAGAAATAGAGAGCAGAAGCAGAGAGATCAGTATGTGTTGAGATGACCTGTCTTTTCTGGTTGTATTCACTATGGATCCCATCATGAGCATAATGCAGCACGTTCTACCATTTTTTTCCTATAAACGCAGTTAGCTGCATTTACACGCGTTTACAAGCGTTTGGTGTTTGAAACGCTGATAAAATCTACTCCTGAACGCAAGTTTGGTGCATTCAAAAAAAAACTACTGTAAACTCAACTACCTGTAAATGACTGTAAATGACATAGTGTACATGGACACATAGGAAAACATTAGGGAGAGTTCAGGGGCTGCTGAAAAAACGCAGAAAACCTCCGAAAAGTGAGTTTATTAGGTGCAGTGTACATGAGCGCTTAGGGTGTAATGCAATTCTATGAACAGAAGAATGTACAAAAAAACATATTCTTTAAAGTCCAATTGCACTTTTGGTTGAAAGTAGTGTTCAATGCTCCTTTTTTAAAGGAGACGTATAGCTTTTTTGGGTATACTTCTCCTATAGATCCCATGATTGCAGTTCGTTCTGCACTCCTGTGACCCATTTTCAGCCAACCATAGGCTAAAGCCCCACTAGCAGCTGGCTGTCATCACAGAGCTGGTCCAGGCTCTACAAAGATCCCAACCAATATGGTCATGCTCCGCCCAGAAGCCTGCATCGTCACCTGGCTCCCGCCCCCTCCACAGCCCAGTGCTCCAGTGACCGCTGAATGGGCAGAGCAGAGTCAGTGACTGGCAGTCACAGCTCCCTGCTCAGAGTGGAGGGGAGAACTGAGTGATCAGCGCTGTTTCATCACTCAGTTCTTGGTATCAATACTGCATCCACCTAGTGGAGCATCATTTTTTTTTTAAGCCCATACTTCTCTTTTAAAAAATTACTATATTGCTTAGCATGTATTACACTTACCCTTTGCTGAATATGTGGCCAAAAATATAAGTCCTCATGCACACTGGACATTTTCACAGCTGCTGTTTTTGGCATTTGACGGGTTTTTTTTTACAGCTAGTAAACCCCCCAGCATGTTATCCTATGTGTCCATGTACACATAGACTGTAATCAACGTTTTTTTTGGCAGGGGCGTTTTTTGGCTGGAAAAAATCCCAGGACTAGTTTGTTTCTAGAGGAGTTTTTTAGCTGTAAAAACACTCTAAAACTGAAAAATGCAGCAAAATGTGGTTTTTTTTTTTAAAACGCTGCAAACAGGCAGTTTTGGACTTTTTTTTGACCCCCCAAAATTTTTTCTGGTCAAAAAAACGCTAAAAAACACAAACGCGGAAACATTTGTGAAAACACCACTAAACATAGCAAAGCGCCGCTAAACGCTAATGCAAAAACACTGAAAAAACTCACGTTTTTAACATGACTTTACACAGCTAACATTACCAGCGTTATCAAAACACCCAGTGTGCATAAAGACTAGTAAATATTCTTGCCGACTCCAGGTCCTACAGCTATTGCTGCCCTTGCTTTCGAGGATGTCTCTTGCACTGGTTCATAAGGGACAACACAGGTCCCAGGAGGAGGAAGAAATGGGGAGCAGGCTGTCAGTATCAGGCAGAAGTGGGCATGTTAAGGTGGCTCCATAAATTCCTGTGAGGGGATGGAACAACCTGAAAATCAGGCCTAGGAAGAAGGGAATTTGGATAGGCAGAATGCAAGGAAAAAGGCTCAAAAAGAAAAACACACATCAAAAGGTATTTAAAGTCCTACAGTTTGTGTATTTCTGAAAACAGCCACAGCCTGAACAAAAAAGCCTGTCCCCCTGCCAGCATGCTGCCGAGAAGGATCCTTGCTCCCCTTGTGAAAACAGTGTTCTTTTTAACTACTTGCCGACTGCAGAGAGCCGAATAATGGTTTCACTGCGGCCGGCCAGTTCTGGGAGGGCTCTCTTGTACACCCCCGGAGGCACGCACCCGGACGATCTCCGTGATTGCTGTGTCTTACGGACACAGCTGATCATGTGATATAGTAAAAGGCCAATCACAGCGGCCTTTTACCACATGATCAGCTGTGTCAAATGACACACTGATTATTATTATTAATATTATACAGTATTTATAAAGCGCCAATGGTTCGCTCAGCGCTGTACATTACAAAGGGGGACAGAACATGTGACAGAACAACAACAATACAATGCAAAACATGAGGGGATCGAGGGCCCTGCTCTTTCGAGCTTACAATCTAGGATCACCGGAAAATGCAATTACCGGTTATCGGCAGCACTTTTCTCACTCTGTCACAGCGTTTTCAGAAGAGGGATCAGCACCGATCATCAGGGCACTGATGATCAGTGCCCTGATGATCGGTGCCCAGCAGTGCCATCCACCAGTACCGCCCACAAGTGCCCTTCAGTGCCGCCCACTTGTGCCCATCAGTGCCACCCACCTGTGCCCACCAGTGCCCATCAGTGCCATCCAGCAGTGCCCAGCAGTGCTGCCAGTCAGTGGCCAGTAGTGCTGCCAGTCCGTGCCCAGCAGTACCCATCAGTGCCATCTATCAGTGCCACCTATCAGTGCACATCATCAGTGCTGTCTATCAGTGCCACCTATCACTGCCCATCAGTGCCTCCTATCAGTGCCCATCAGTGCCACCTATCCATGCCACCTCATCAGTGCTGCCTGTCAGTGCCCATCAGTGCTCCTATCAGTGCAGCCTCATCAACGCACATCAGTGAAGGAGAAAAATTACCTTTTTGCTAAATTTTATAATAGAAACAAAGAAAAACTTTTTAAAAAAAATATTTTGCTCTTTTTTTGTTTATAGAGCAAAAATTAAAACACCAAATGAAGCTATTTCTGTGAAAAATTTTTTTATAAAAATGTCATATGGGTACAATGTTGCATGACCGTGCAATTCAAAGTGCAACAGCGCTGAAAGATGAAAATTGGCCTGGTAAGGAAGGGGGTATAAGAGCCCGGTAGGCAAGTGGTTAAAGCAGCCTGACACATCCCCTGCTGAGTCAAACCTATAGCTCAGCAATTAGTAATGCTCCTGCTCTTTGCTGATTGCAGAGCTCTAGCTCTAGGTGGTCTAACCATTGGTTATCCCGCTCACATTTAATAGTGCATTGCGCCCTGCACATGGGTTTAAACGCTCAATCTCATAGCCGGCCCGTCTTGCCTCTCATCGCTCAGGTCACTCCACAATACAAGCGTGTCTCACCACTTTCAGGTCATCGGACCATCAATTCCTGTAACTCCACCTCGGCGTATGTTTCTTTGTGCTGACGTCATCAGGAGGAGCTACAGAAAGCTCTCAATCTACTTCTGATATACACTGTTGGTTAACCATTTACAAACCATTCACTTTTTATGTGCACTGTTAATTAACCATTAACGAAACCTTTTAGCCATATTACTGCTTATTTGTTGGACAAGAAGGTCACCTACGCATGCAGCCATTAACCATTTTGATATTGCTATCAATATTAATATTTCACCACACAAATCCTCAGAACGATCTGCATCGATCGGTGTTTGGTATTTAGCAAAGATCATACATGAATCTCTGGTGACCTGTTACTCAATGCGCACAAAACATAACATATACATGTCCTTAAAAAAAAGTACTGCATGGGAAACTTTTATTCATAGAATGCATGAAGGTAAAAAACCTTGAGCCTTTACAACTGCTTTAACTTTGTAGCATATAACAAAATGAGAGGTGGCTGCAGGGGGCTGATCTGTGCCAGACATTTCTGAACACAGCAAAGACACGCATAGGCACCAGGATTTACAGGACTTTGGCATCTCCAACATCTTAGTCCAGGACATAAATATTATGCCGGAATAAAGATGACAATGTCCATCTAGAGCGATAGTCAGATGAAGGAATTGTCAGGAGGGAATACTGGGACCTCTGCGATCGGTAAGAAATAACTATACATGTTTCACATGCACATTACTTAGTATGCCCTCACTCAACATGAAAAAATATTTGATGTTAGGTCGACTTTAGAGCATATCTTAAATGAAAGCTAACTGGATAAAAAATAAATAGTTCATTAAAAGATGAAAAAAATAAAACCAGCTTTTATTACAATATTCAGCAGCTTCAATCCAGAGATTTCCCATGCAGTACTTTTTCTGACACTAGATGTCCCCAGTGTGATGGCCAGCATCATTCAACACACTTCCCCTGAACCCAGGTCATCCAGGACCTATCAGCCTGAGACTATACTAGAAAAGGAGACGCAGCAAAGTGAAGAACTCATCTCTCTATCATTCCACTCTCTAATCCTATCAGCATGCTTCTTGTCTCCTTGTACCGCTTCTGCTTATCACACTCTTGCCCTGCTGTACAGTGTCTACGAGAGGCTGATACCAGGTCAAATTCAAGTACTTAAACTACTTGCATTTATATAATAAGTTCAATTATGTATTTGTTTTGTTACAGAGCTGCATTCATTTGTGTCTCTAATATCTGCCTAGAGTTCAGTTTAATAATTAGTTGTACTGTACAAAAGAAAAAAAAAATATATACATGAAGAAATGTATTGCTATTCATGAAAATAGCTGGTTTTCCAGCATTTGATTGGTGGTTTTGAAAAGCTGATTTATTTCATTTTCACTACACTGTTTATAGCGTGGTATCAGTGTTCTTTAGATTTTATTGAAGACACAGACTATGGGAAAAATACAGGGCAGAAGAGTCCCCTTATATATCAACAGCAGACAGAATATTTCATTTCTCAGATTTACTTTTACATCCAGAATAAAATACCAAGATAAGGATGAAGTACAACAAATATATAGTATGATCCATGCAGGGGTGTACTCGTTACTCATTAAGTTGTTATATTTCTTGCAAGTAAAAGTGCAAATTCAGCCCTGCACACTGTTCTGCAAATCCTCCACAACATGACAGGTCTAGTGTAACAGTTTTTCAGCATACGGATTCATTGAACCCATGAAAACAACCAGAACCAATAATAAATTTGAGTCAAGGGCAATTTTTTACATCTTCACATACATGTTAAAATCAGCATTTTTTTTACATTTATTGCTAGGTAATTACTTTAAACCGCCACATTTTTTTATTTCATATTTTTTTCTGAAAGCAGAGGCCCTGTAGTATAAATCACTGGCAGTTGCAATTTTTTACGTTGCACAGTATTTGCACAACTATTTATCAAATGCATATTTTCAAAAAAGAATACACAAAAAATAATTTTAATGCACACAAACACAATTTAATATTCAATACTTTGGTAAAAGATAAAAGATAGCATTGCATCAAGTAAAGAGATACCAAACATGTCAAGTCTCAAAATTTTGGGTGCAAAAAAATGGGGTGCTTTAAATTTGTTTTTTTTAAAATAAATCTCACATTTACTCACAAAAGAGATCGGGGAATGTATGTTCCGCAAGCAGATTTCCCATACTCCTTGAAGATCTATTTAAAATCCTCTAAAGCCTTTCTGGTCATGGGGTATTGATGTTTTCTTTTTAGGTGAAGTCAGTTGCACATGCATAGTTCCTAGCACAGAGATTTGCTCTTGTGAGTCTCTGTTTACTTCCTTTAAAGCCCATGTGACTAGAAATGCCATAGCAAGGAGACTGATGCATAATGGCGCCACCTTCAACAAAATGGAAAGTAGAGCAGCCCACACTGGAAAAACACAGCAATACAGATCTTTACCTTGCGGGTAGCTAGCATTAGCTGAATTAAATTTAATCGAGGCTGGCAAATTTTACTTCCACTTTCATATAGAATAGTGTGGGAGAGGGTTAGGGCCTTCATCAGGCTTTTACTACTATGTGGGGTTCAACTGGGGACATTTCCTCCCAACTTCCTGTTGTGGTAACCACGTTAACTGAGCCAGGGGGTGGGGGGGAATCTCCCCAATGAGGACATACAGCAACCTGCCATAATTTTATAACCACTCACCCAATATTGAGATGGTCCCCCCTTTTGTTGCCCAAACAGCCCTGACTCATCAGGGCATGGATGCCACTAGACCTCTGAAGGTATGCTGTGGTATCTGGCACCATCAGTAGCAGGTCCTTAAATTGTGCTGGTTTTTCCAGCACATCTCTCATATGCTCAATTAGAGAACTGGAGAAAATGGATGCGAATCAACACCTCAAACTTATTATTGTGTTCCTCAAACCATTCTTGAACCATTTTTGCAGTGTGGCAGTGGCCTGCTGAAAGAGGCCACTGCCGTCATTGAATACCATTTTCATGAAGGTATCTATTTGGTCACCAACAATGTTTAGATAAGTGGTACATGTCAAAGTAACATCCACATGAATGGTGGGACTAAGGTTTCCCAGCAGAACATTGCCCAAAGCATCACATCGCCTCTGCTGGCCTTCTGCCTATAGTACATTCTGGGGCCATCTCTTCCCCTGGTAAGCGACACACATGTACCCAGCCATCCACATGATGTAAAAGAAAACATGATTCAGCAGACCAGGCCACCTTCTTTCATTGCTTTTCTGCTTTGAACAGATCAAATTTAGAGACAACATAATTATTTGCTGCCTAATATATCCCAACAACTTTCAAATACCACTGTAACAATATAACCATTGTTCTTCACTTTACCTGTCACTGATCACAAAGTTATGGCTGAGCGGTGTACACAATATAAAAAACCTGAAACAGGTTCTAACCCTTCCCTTTCCAGTTGCAGGGATTTCCTATCACAGACCACTAACCTTAGATTAGGAATTGAGGGAAAAAAATTGGGAGATTCCAACCCTTCTGTGTTCTAATTCTCCAAGCCAAATCCAAAAAAGGGTTATCTGGAGTTCTACTTTAAAGTGCATCTAAACCCAAGAACTTCAAAAATTGCATGTTACTAGTCTTTAGATGTTGTAGCTTCATTAGTGGTTTTTCAAATACTTTTTTCTTTATTTTCCTGCCAGTAATGCTCTTCCTGTCCTAGGATGATAACACGTATTTGTTGTATTGTATTTATGGAATAGCAGTGTTGTTGACCCACAACAGGGCTACAGAACACCCCCTCTTTCCCTAATGAAGGAGGAGGTGTTTTGTAGATCACAGAAGGAGCTGGGAATACTGTACAGTATCTGATAAGAGTGCAGTACAGGCACAGGAATATTTCCAGTAGTTGTGGTAACAACCATACCTGACTGTTCATTAATGAATACTTGATTTATTTTCTGTCCAACTTTAATCGGTTCCTGCCTGGCCCATAGACAAACGATAGCCAGGTGGCACACACGCTGTTCTGGGTGGACGCCATATGACATCCTCCCCAAAATGTGGCTTGTGTATCCCCATGGACCACGCTGTGGTGTGATCTGTTACCCACTGTATCCACTGGACACAATAGATGACCGATCAGTGTACCAGCCGCTGCCAGTACGATGTGATCACTGTGACCAATTTCAGCGGATCACCTAACAATAATACACAATGGATGGCATTCATTCATGCCATCCATTGTGCACTAT